AATCCTAATTTCAGAGCAGGGGAAAGGCTGATGTGACAAAACAGTTCATGAAACTTTTCCTTATAACTGATCTTTAGTCTTTTATTATTCTAGAGCAACTCTTTTTTTTTTTTTCTGTCTGAAAAATATGGTCTTAGAAACGAATAACTTTAGGGTCATCTAAATAGCAGCTGCAGAAATATTAAACCAAGAAAGAGCAGTGCACAGAATATCCTTCCAAAAGCAGAAAGCAGCTATGCTTATAGAGGCCTAGATTCTGAGCTGAAGCAAGCTGGCACAGCTCCATAGACATCTAGTTGAACTTGTGATGGCTTTTTCCAAACAGCACTTAAAATATATAAGAAAAATTTAAGCACCTTCTTTGTTCATCCTTGCATCTTTGTATTTATGTGCATGCATAAGCATGAATTATGGAGGTGGCTACTGCCTTGGTGACAAAGGGGGGTGAAAGTCCCATATTTGAAGTTTGCTTTGCCTATTCCAACATGGAGTGAGATGAGGTCTGGGTTCTGGTGATAACTTCTGTTGTTGAAGAAATGCCAGTTTCTAAATTTAGTATTACAAAACCAAGAAAGAATTGTTTTGTTAAGAGTATATAAAATAGGTCTGTCTTCTAACACTCACATCTTTGTCTGCCTTTTTTAATTATTCAGGAAAAATCACGATAGGATGCATAGAAAATGTACAGTGCAACTATGTACAGACTATAGACATCTCTGAAACCTGCAAATTTTAGAGACAGTTAATTTCCTTCCAGTAGAACTATGTCCTCACTTTTCAGTTTTGTAACCATTTGAACGGCCTCATGACCCATCCACAGAGATACCACTGTCTCATAAATTATTTATGGTATTTTTAGAATAGCACAGTGGTCACCAGATCATTGTTCTTTGTAGTTCTGAAATGCTGGTGATTTCATGAATTAGTGACTGTACTCGTAGATGTTGCCTTACAATGGATGAAATAATTCTTAGTTCCAAGGTACTCCATAAATCGAGTTGATTTGGATATATTTAAGGAGAACGTCTTGCAATGTTGTTAAATGATAGAGTGAAATGTACATTACTTTCAATAGTAAGATAAGAACACACCATGGTATTGAAAATCTTATTTGTATGAAGGACCATGATTAGGTGAGTTAGTTCTGACTTAGAATGTTTAGCAAGATTTTCTTAGGTGAGGGTTTTTGTTTACCAGGTTAATATTAGCCTACTGATTCAAAAAGCAAAATTTTCTTCTTGAGGGAATTCTTAGCCTTTTGAGAACTAAATTTTTGCATCACTCGGTTTTCACGTATAAAGGATACTGCAGCTTACAGGGTATGCAATCAAAGTATGGACTTTAAGGGACTGTCACACCTGAAACTGTCCTTATACAGGTTTTTTTATTAGCTCTGACATTTTTCAGTTTTAATAATGTGGGCAACAGGTTTACTAATAACAAGGGAAGAAGAATAAACTTACTGTGGCTTCTTTCAATCTTCTGAAATCTATGTGCAGGTATGCATTTATTCCGTTGTATGCACCAGGCAGGGTTATTCCATGTATTAACAAGACAAACAATACAACATAAGGCAGAGTGGCTGTTATCCAAACGACCTGCAGACAACAGAGATCCCAAAGGTTAATCAGCTGTTACAGAAGATTTAAGAATGTGTGAAAAATACAGCCAGCACTTTCTTGGTTTTGTGCATTCAGTTCGATGGAGAAGCTCTTCCTAGGATGTCTTGGGGGAAAATGCTGTTATGTGTCATGATTCTTTATGTATGTTTACAGATACCAGTAGGAGACAGTTTTGACAAACAGAAGATTTGGAGTGCTTATACATTACCAGTGTGTGTTAGACTGCCAGTTAGCTCTTCAGCTATATATTAGTTTACTAAAGAAGGGCAGTCATTGCCTGCTAGTAGGTGATGCTTTCATGAAAATGTGCAAAAAGGTCTCAGATGTATCCAACCCTAGAATTTCTGTTGAGGTGTTTTCTGGACTCAGAGGGATGTCAGAGTAATTTCAAATTACTTTAATCAGATATTTCTCTGGTCATGGAATTTTGTATAATAAAACCAAAGGATCTTAAACCATTGAAACATTAGAACATTTGGCTAAGAATAAGAGACGTGTTTAAGACAAGTTAAAGTCTTTCAAAATATTTTCTGGATGAGACTGCTAATGTTGAATTGAAAATAAAACGCTAATAAAATTTCCAATTAGAATGTCACACAACAAAACTTGTTAATAAAATATAGGTGGAATCGGGATTGTGTATTTCCACTGTACATATATGAAGGCCTCTGACATGGTTTGGTCCCTGAGGATCCCTCAGAAGCAGTGATTTAGTCTCTTGCTTTCTAAAATTAGGACACTTCTTAAAGGAGACAAAGAATGTACTTGAGATAGAAGGACAATATTAGCTCTACCTTTCCCGAAGTCTTCACGCCTTTCCACAGACTAAAGAAAAGAATGATTACCACCACCAAGAGGCAGAGGGAGAGTTGCCAGCGAGGCAAGCCAAGGTCATGGATTCCACGGCTTTCATGCAGGTGCAGAACTCCTCGCCTACACACCAGATACACAGAAACAAAGCAAAGTCACTGGAGGAAAAAAGGCTTTTACGTATCTCATCCTGTGGACAGCAGAAATGGACGCTGCACTGCAGTAGCAGCTGCCCTACTGACATCGCTAGCAGTTAGTGGAATCTGTTTCGTGAAGCCGTGTATTGTGCTTCTTCTCACGATGCCTTTATGGTGTCACTGGCCCATCAGTGTTTGTGGAGCATCATAGTGCCATAATAACAGGACTCTCTCCTTCACTGAAAGTGTTTGAGGATTTTGGAAGTGTCATTTGTTGGTTCTTGCTTGAACACTGAACAGATGCCCAGAGACACTACAGAACCTCTGTCCTTGGAGATTTTAAAACTTGGCCAGTAAAGGCCTCGAACAGACTAATCTGCTTTCGAAGTTAGCCTTGCTTTGGGGTAAGGAGTTGTATTGGATGACCTTTAGCGATATCTTTCAGCCTAAATTATTTTGTGATTCTAGATAAGCAAACAGCTGGCTTCCTGCAACTTCAGCAGTTCCAGAGTTACTTTCAATTTCTTTTTGAATAGGCTATTCAGAGGGTGCAAGTGGGAAAATTATTTGGGAAGGAAAAGCAACAGTTGGTAAATTTAAATTGGATATAGTGTTCTGAGTTGTTCATTGAAACAGCGGAGTGATAGCAGAGGAAATTCTGTTGCTTACCAGGGCAGGTAATTCTTTTGAGATCTATACAGTGAAGTGGATTGAAGTGTAGAAGAGTGTTTGTCCTCCTGACTGGTGATATCTACAATTAGAGTTGCCAAAACACACTGTGCAACAGGCACAGGGATATAGGAGAGATAGATATTATAGTGGATGTCACTTCCTTTAACTCAGTTCTGTGCTACTGAAGTGTCTCTTGCTGCTTTTTCAGATCTAAAAAATGCAGAAATATTTTGTTTTACTGAAAGATGTATTTGCAGAGAGGAATGCATTGTGGCTGGAGGCCTCCGCTAGAGAAGAATTGGAGAGCTAACTCCTGGTTCTGATGTAGATCACAGGATGCTGGCTTGGGGATTCAATTTCTTAGTATTTCAGTGCCCATCCAGATAAAATGGTCATGACCTTCCTTATTTCCTCCCCTTTATTACCTTTTATTTGCTATGCACTTTTTGGGTAAAATAGAAAGTTGATTTCTGTTGGCTTTTCTGAGCACCATGATAGTACAAACAAATTGAATCAAAGAAGCCCTGTTCACTGGAGGACCTTGACATGTTTTATGAAGATAACTAAATTTTAGAGAAACTGAAGTACTGAGTGATTTTCCCTGCATGACTGCAGACATGTAGAAACTAAATTCTGAGGAGTATAATTTCAGCTTTATTTGCTATTTCCATACAATCTCTTACTAGATAGATGGTGCTTCAGAATTAACTTAAGCACTTGTCTTATCAAGTTGGAGATGAGTGACATAGTTGAGTAAGTTCCAAGATAGGGTAAACCTGTGTCAACTTAAATGGGGAAAACTGAAAAATGTCTCTGTACTACTTAAACTGCAGAAACATGCTGGGAAAAATAAGGCCCATTAGAACTATCTATCTAGCAATATGAAAGAGTTGCATACAATTCCCTTTTGATTCCTGAAGCATCAAGATATGATCAGCTAAGAATTGTAATAGTTCTGCTTCTGTAGTTTTTATGTTTAATAAGAAATGCTGTGTTTTTGGACTGTTTCTATGATTTATCCCAGTTGGATAAAAGATACTTGTGGAAAGCAGCCTCCTAAATTAAGCAGCTGATCTGTTTGTTGCATTGTTAAGCTAATAATAAGTGAGACATTAAAAGAGTAGTGACCATGTGTTTGTGGCATATATTTGAGAATGTTCCTATCTAGAAAGTATGAGGTGAGTTTAACTCTTATACAACAATATAGCTGTATAACAATATAGCTGTTACCTGTGGAAACAGTAAAACATAGAGGCTGACTTCTTGATATCTCATCTAAAAACCTATTATCTTTAATTAAATGTAAATAATTAAATAGGTCTCATTCCACTTTGGTTAGAGTGTGAGTGAAAGCTACTTGTATTTCTGCTGATAAAGTATAATTTGCCAGAGGATCCACAGATGTAAGTGAATCCTGGACAGGGATGCCTGATTCCATTCTAAACTTACCAGCTTGGGCAGTGATAAGCATAGCTGGGAAAAGCTTCACAGGCTTCTGATCAGAACATTTGGCCAGGATCTTGGGAGGGTTTTGGCAATCTCTGCTATCACAGTTACACTGCTATTGCTATCAGAGCTGCATTTTGTAAAGACAGACCTGTGGATTATGATGTCTACTCAGAAAAACGGAATCTGAACTGGCATTCTTTGTGCCCGTTTAATGTTTTATTCTTCTTGCCCAAATATTTTCCTGGATTTGTAAAGAAGCCTGCTGCCTTGCGTGTTTGCTTTCCAAGAAGCAGCTAGCAATGTGTCTTACTGTTTGGAACACTTGCCAGAACTGCCATTTCAAATGTGGGATTCCCAGGATTTTCAGGAGAATCTCCATTCCAAGAGTTCTTCTCTCTTAATCAGGGTAAGGAATCATAAAATAGGAAGAGAAAAATACTTTTGTAATCAGTCAAAACAGCTGTGTAACTGGGCAGCTAAGCAAGGAAATCTTCATAGACAGCTGCTGTTTCTGAGCTGTAATTCTGGCGGGTTTTGCTTCCTTTTCCTTTTTTTTCTTTTCTTTTTCTTTGTAACATCTAGATAAGTCATAGAAGCTTTCTGAAAGATGCCCTTTTTGAAGGTTGCTGGGAAGTAGTTCGTGAATGTTTACCTATTAGAAGCTACATTTCTGTTACAGTGGCACCATAGAATATAAAATATCTAGTGCTAGACTGCGATTTAGGTTAAGATGTGCTGACATATGAAGAGATGGAAGAGAGAAGCAGCGGCCAAATTATTAGATAGATTAAACCTTATGTGTTTGAAGGATAGAGCTCTGTAATGTTCTTTGAAAAACAGTCATTTTTTGGAGAAGAGCAAATTTGAAAAGAACTTTTGCATTCATCATTTTTCATCCAAGTTAGCATACATCAGTGATGCTATAGAAAATCCAGTTAACTCAATTATGCAACAATTATTCTTGTTTCACATCAAGGAGTAGGAGCAGTTGAGGCTATTTTTAGCCTGTATCTCTTAAGGCAGGTTGAGTGATAAATCCCTGACTGGCTCCTTTAGATTATACTGAGTCACTTCCCTTATACTGGCCACAAAGAGGAAAATGCGAAGGAAGAGATACTGCAAGATTCCCCATTCAGGAAGCTCTGAGGTCGAAACACCTGAATTTTCAGCCTTTTGATATTATAGCAGAATAATGCAATGTGGCCAACATCCATTCCTGAATTCACTAGCTGCAAGTTTGTCCCGTTTCCCAATGCTATAAAGACACGTACAAGTCATAGACAAAATGGCATGAACTGATCTCTCTTAAATCTCTAAGCCAGGGACCCAGAGGAGATGCAGCACCAACTATTATCAGTCTGTGTTGTCTGTCAACTTCTTTAAATTATGTCCGAAGCCTCTGAGAATGTCCTAAGTAAAAGCTTCTGGAAGTGATTCTTGTTTCATAAGAATAGAGATATTTGTCCAATTCTGCTAATAAACTCTTATAATTCACAACTCTGAGTCAAAGAGAAAGGAAAAAATCAGAGGCAGTAAAGACAACTAGAATTAGTATTTTGCCTGCAGATTGTTGTTATTGAGAAAAGAATGAAAGTAGATGAGAAATATGTGCAAAAAAAGGTGAAGAAAATGTTATGGGGGAAAAGACAGAGGATAAACTAACAGATGGAGCTGACAAAATAGAACAGGGACCTATTATATTATGCTGAGCAAAATACAAGATGAGCTAATAAACTGTTTAAGCTTTCAGATAGTCTAGTCAGTGCTCTAGCAATATTTAGTTAGTACAGCACCAAGAATCAAAGAACATGCACTAGAGATAAGAAATTAACTTTTTTTTTAAAATCGAGGATTTGTGCAAAGTTGCCTGATTTATGCAAAGACTGCTTTCTATGTAAGGGAGTATAAATTACTTTTGCAATGACTTTGACACTGTATATCACTGTAAATATGGGTCCCAAGAGTCTTTCTGCCTATCTGCAAGAGGAACAGGAATGTGAAAGGATTTCAGACTGAAGCTGCATTCAGATATTCTGGTTTCTCTTTTTGGGAAATTTCTTCTGGTCCTTGCCTTCCCTGTGCACTCTGCTGGGAAGATTCCCCATGTCACCCAATAACTCTGGCACCAATTCTTGCCTTACTTCCACACTGCATTCAGCTAAAGGGAAATAGTGCACCTCTGTTGAAATCAGCAAAGGGCAGTTTGCTGGTACCACTGTCTTCTGTTTTGTCTGTGCTGCACTTGGGTCCTCTTTTGGTGTCAGATCGCAAACACCACCAAAAGGCCAGCTCTTTGGTATTCACACATAAACCCTACAGAAGACGAATTATTGAGGAGGCAGGAGGGCTGCTGCTCGGTGGGACTTAGTAAATGAAGGATCCAGTCACTGTTCTAATAATAGGTAATGTTGGAACCAATAAATTCTTTTCTGCGTCCTGGTGTTCCCATCTATAAAATAGGGATTATTATAAACCTTTGCTTTGTCTCCACTCTGAGCAATTCAGAACGCACTCTTTATGGAAGTGGTGAGTATTTGAGTATAAACAGAGAACCAAACCAAAGGAAAAAGAAATGCCAAGGGTCGTGATCTGAAAATTATTCTGTATCTTACTCATTCCAAAACATTTATTCCATAGCCAGAAAACAGGAGGTAAGAGTTTTAGGTGTAGAATTCTCCCAGACTTTTTTATCAGACTGGTTCTTATTAAGGACTCTTTTGTATTATTCATCCTTAGAGAGATTTACACGACTCTTTTGGAAATTTAGAAGGTTTTGTACAAGCAGATCAAGTTAAAGATCTTGGAGTAGGCCTCTTTTTTCCCAGTCCCAAATCAATTATAATTTTAGATTTCAATCCAAATAGG